CAAATCGTGTGCTGCTGAGAGCAAACAGTCTCTGGATTCTGTAAGTTGGGATATTCTTCGTTGATTTCCATATCCTTCGACATAACATTCTTCGAGGTGTGCCATCACTACTTCGTGGACTTCGGTCTCGTGTTGTATAATCTGGTTCTGTCTCTGCTCACATTCGACCATCCATGCGTTTTGGTGGTTCAACATATGCACTTCGGCAAGTAGTTGTGCACACTTCGCATTGAGGTCTCCATCGGCCCGTGCTAGTTGTAGGTTGTCCGTGCTTGCCCTTGCTCCATCTCCAGCTTCGCTGTCCGACGGCACTGGTACAGTTGACCCATCCTCCAATGCTAGCACTCTCACAGCTCCGGTGTCAGTTCTCCTCCTTGTCTCCCTAGGGCTACGGCCTGATCTCGGTGTCCCCCCCGGTGGTGTCGAGTGCGCTGACGGGGAACGACTTCGTGCTCTACCTGTCGCAACTTCTCTCACCACTGTCAGAGTCTCCGCTTCGATCGTACCTGGACTAGAGTTGTGGGATGCACTCATCCGATCTGCGGCCGCAGCAGCTGCTCCAAAGGATGCAGTGCTGGCGTCGGATTGGTCCATCTTCAGTGACTGAGGGTAACTGATCTATCCGATGCTTGTGCGTTTAGATGGTGTTGTGTAAGGCCGTAGCTCGTACCCAGCTCAAAGGAGTCTGGATACGGCTGATAACCTGCGAACGGATGGAAAGGTGTGCCCTGGCCCCGTTCTAGCCCTCAGTTCAACATGAAGCTCGCGCGCTAAAGCTCCTTTTTACCTGGTTGGGCACTTGAGCCAAAAGTATATGGCATGTACCTGTATAGCAACTATACTGGGACCTCATCCCTATTGACAAATAGGGAGACCTTCCAAAGACTCCCTAAAACAAAGGAAAATCAACCCGTCTATCCACTTGGGGTGATCAAGGGTCTTCCAAAATACACACCCACATCAGTGATCAATTGAGGCTACATTTGTCCTTCAATCCGGAGTGCTGAGTCGCAGTAGTCAGCTCATGCTTGCACAAATCTTCTCCACATCTGCAGTCACACAGCCCTTGTGACAGCTGCATTTCGACCCGAAGCTTTCGGTTCTTGCAACGCCTTCTGATCGTGTTTTGTGAACTGGTGCCAGTTCATTCTTCTCAAGCATTCTGATCGTTCATGGTTCATGCCCCAGAGAAATCATGGCGTCCGCTCTTCAACTTTATAAGCACCGACCATGTTGGATTTGACACCTGGGCTGTAGCTACTACAACTTCCCTACTTCGTGACTTGTGGTACTTGTGGCTAGCTGAGCTGTGACAAGTAACTTGAAGTTGTGCTATAAGTTCTATAAGTTCATATTGTAACTTCCAAGTTCGAGAAGTAATGTAGTCCCTTGATTTATAAACCCCCCCCCCCCCCCCCCCCCCAACAACCAAGGCCTCCAAAATAATGTATAAGAAAATCAATCAATTGATAATTAAATAAGGAATCCTTAGCTAGCTACCTCTGGAGCTACTCTGGCAATATTAAAATAAAAGGAATCAAGAAAACCTAACTTTGAAGACATCTGGAATATGAATTACAATAAAAGGGAATGAATCAATGGAAATAGAACTAACTTTTGAAATTTCAATGGAAATCTGAATCCAAAGACTTGCAATTTCAATGGTAAGTAAAGCAAATCAAAAGGCAAAGAACATGAATAAAGATTTAAAGCCTCAAATCTCTAGACATTATTCTAGGGCCCCCCCCTAAATAATGTCAGAAAGCTGCTTGCTGGACTACCACCTTTGCTTGAATGATTTTTTGTTTTTCAATACTTTTGAATAAGGGATTTTAATAAAAAAAGTGCGCACTGACTGTTGGAAACTTTTGGAAAGCTTCAAAACTAAAGAGCTTAGGAAAAAGTTAATAAGGAATAGAGGGTGAGTAAAGCAGATCAAAAGGCAAAGAACAGGAATAAAGATTTAAAGCCTCAAATCTCTAGACATTATTCTAGGGGCCCCCCCCTAAATAATGTCAGAAAACTGCTTGCTGGACTACCCCCTTTGCTTGAATGATTTTTTTTGTTTTTCAATACTTTTGAATAAGAGATTTTATAAAGAAAGTGCGCGCTGACTTTTGGAAACTTTTGGAAAGCTTCAAAACTAAAGAGCTTAGGAAAAGTAAATAAGGAATAGAGGGTGAGTAAAGCAAATCAAAAGGCAAAGAAAAGGAATAAAGATTTAAAGCCTCAAATCTCTAGACATTATTCTAGGGCCCCCCCCTAAATAATGTCAGAAAGCTGCTTGCTGGACTACCCCCTTTGCTTGAATGATTTTTTTGTCTTTTGAATAAGGGATTTTATAAAGAAAGTGCGCACTGACTTTTGGAAACTTTTGGAAAGCTTCAACACTAAAGAGCTTAGGAAAAGTTAATAAGGAATAGAGGGTGAGTAAAGCAAATCAAAAGGAAAAAAGTAGACTATAACAATAAAACATATTCCACTACAACTACCCCTCCCAAAAAAAAGACATTATTCTAGGGGCCTTTATAAATCAGTGCAGGGAAGAAAAAAAAACATTATTCTAGGGGGGTTTATAAATCTGAGGGCCACATTACCAGGGTCCTACTTATGGCTATTTCTAGCTAATTTATACGTATTTCTTCCATCAGTTTCTACTTGTTTCTGCTAATTGTGTTTAAGTTCCATATATTTTTAGAATTTCAACATGAAACTCAACGTGCGTTTATGTTCCATTCACCTGGGTCCAATACCACTTCATCAGAAGGATCAGATCCGGCTAGATCTCTATCACCAAACAAATGAGCCCAAACTTTAATACATCACCCAAACCATGTCAGGTGTTCAATCTATCATTTAAATAGTAAACAAACACAAAAACATATTTGGACAAAATTGTTGATTGTCATTTCATTGTAAATGAATGTATCGGGTCGTATCGGGGAGTAAGAAAAGTAAGGCCGATACATTCCGATACATCCCAAAACACACTGAAAACTGCGCTATATAGGTTTCCTGAAAACCCTTGATCATAACAGAGCGTCCCTGAGGCCGCTTGCGCGCGTGTTTATCGTGTTGTTTTTTGTTTTTGTTTTTTTCCGCGGCAGCAATGTCTTCATGGGGTTGGGGGGGGGGGGCGGAGGGGGGGCGGGGCCATGGAGCTTATCATGTAAGCTCTGGATAGGTGATTTCTGGTAAAGGCTTATTAACATCTCAATAGAGGTCTATCAAGGGCCTATTAAGGTCTATTAGGAGCTTATTTGATAAGCACTTAATAACCATCCTTATTGAGTTTATTGTTGAGGGCATGTGGTCCTCCAGAAAAACCACTGTTTTTGGACACTTGAGACCTTGAACCGTTTCCAAAGAATGGTAGACACCCTGGATAGTATCCCTGGATGAGTTGATTACTTTGCACTCAATAAATTAGGTGTGTTTCATGTGAAAATTCATCCACACTGGTCCAACAAAATGGACTGGCGTGTCGCCAAAAATGCCAGTTTCCCTCAACCCTTCATGCCCAGACCATTGGTGATGCCGCTCGGATAAGAAATGTAGGAACAGCCACCTCCACTACAGCCCAGCTAGCTGCAAGCCCAAACCCTTACAAGCGCTCTCTCGACTTGGAATGTGTGGGGGGGCAAAGGTTGGTGATGCAAGTGATGCAAATTAAGGCCTTATTAAGACATCATTAAGGCCTTATTGGATAAGCATTGGATAAGCCTTGGATAAGGCCTTCATAAGCTATGAATAAGGCCTTAATAAGGGATGGGAATGCAAAAACATTGTTTTTAACTGGTTTTGGACATCTCCAATGCCAAAACACTGCTATTTGCAGGGTTTTGGACATCTCCAGTGCCAAACCATCGCTATTTACAGGGCTTTGGACATCTCCAGGGCCAAAGCACTGCTATTTTCAGGGTTTTTGCCAAAGCGCTGCTATTTACAGGGTTTTGATCATCCCCAGTGCCAAACCCTTGCTATTTACAGGGTTTTGGACATCTCCAGTGCCAAACCATCGCTATTTACAGGGCTTTGGACATCTCCAGGGCCAAAACACCCTTCATGTTGACTGCACCACCAATGTGCATTCGGGAGGGGCTGTTCATGTTGTTTCTTATCCAGACCTTATCATTTAAGCTAGAAATGCTATCCAGACCTTAAATGATAAGCTCAACGGCACCCCCCCTTCAGCCCCCCCCCCACCCCGTGATTTCATGGCCTCACCAAGTTTGAGGGCCTCACCAATGTTATTTCATTTAAGGGACCCAGAGAAAGGGAGAGAAAAGAAAAAGTGCAAACAAATAAGCTATTTAATGAGAATCTGCCAAAAAAGACAATCTTTTTTGGCGGATTCTATTTCGGGCTCAAATGAACACCGACTTGGAGCCCGCATGTCTACTTATTTCTAGTTATTTATATATATATAATATATGTAATTTCTACTTATGTCTAGCGGTTTTTAGGTAATTGCTACTTATTTCTAGCTATTTTTAAAGCTATATAATATGTTCCATCAGTTCACTAGATGTACCTCAGCTGGCCTCAAGTACCAGAAGTCACGAAGTACCAGGGGTCTCGCCAGTGAGATATATATGAACCTTAACCTGCTGAAAGACCATCCAAACAGGTCGAGTTGCTCACTCTCTAGCGGAACAGGTCAATCCCAACCACACCTGGTCTAAACAAACCAATCACTCACCACCCCAAATCCCAACAAATTTGAGAGCCCAATGGATCATCCCTCAGGAGTGGATCATGCCTTTTGTCCCGAGGGTTTTGGAAGTTTGGATCCCAAACAATCCATCGAACGGAATAACCTTGTTACAGTTTTTACCATCAATATTTACAGTAATACGAATATAGATACCCTCAAAACAGCTCATTTCCAACCCCATGGAATGGCCAATCTTCCACTGATCTGGGGATGGTGCTCCAAACCAAAGCACCGAAGCACCGGAGCACCGCACCGCAACCGTCCTGCCCCGACCGGGTCGGACCTCGCATCCAGGTCCAAAGGCGGTGGCCGACGAAGCCCCAAGCCGCCTGACGTGTTAGGCCGAGAAGCCCGAGAAGAGACCCCACATGGAAGCCACATTTCAAGGGCTTGTAAAGGAAGTGATAGGGCGTCTTCCTGGAGCAGGTCGGAACCCGGTGGGATCTGGGATCGCCCATGGCGGCTGTATATGGCCCAAAGGCGGCCACGACCCACGCAAGGCTCTAAGGGACTCAGGAGCCTTTGGAGACAGGTGCGACGTGAACGTGACAAGGGCATTGGCTCTGCGGTTTGTCACAAGAAGTCTCCATATGTAGCTATACCCAGACACTCCATGGGACTGGCATATATGCCACCCCATTGACCCCTGAAACAACCACCCCAGGTCAATATGCCAGTCTCATTGGTCGTGTCGGGGATATGGGGCATCGCGAGGGTCTGAACAAGTGCAACGGAGTCTGAACTGGGGGTCTGAACTGGGCCGAAATCTCGACCAGGTCGGTAGACGAGCTCTTTTGGGTTCCGGCTCGTTGCCCGGGGAGGTCTCCCTATTTCGAGACACACCAAAACACGTGGCGAACTCCACTTCCATTCTTTCAGGGAGTGTAACTGTCTTGGCCCAAATCTTTTGGCAATAGGCGGCCACAAGTTTGGTGCCCTCGTCCAACTGGAAAACAACACGTACGTGCTCCATGGCTCCTATTTGGGTACCTCGGTGCCAACATCTCCCCAGTAATATATACCTTGGTGTCAACCAAACAGGGAACTGCACAAAGCATCGGTGAACCCTCCCCCCCACTGGCCCCCTCTCCACTCCCACGAACCGCAGGACCAGAGGACCAGACCATTGACGGGATGACATTGGCCCTTGAAATACTACCTGGAGTCGACCCGTTCATACTTCAGAACATGAGTACAGTCGTACCTGTTTTCTTTTTTTTAAATAGGGTCATGTTCCATGTTCTAAGGTACTTTGGAGGGTCCAGGTAGCATTCTTACTATAGTAATATTTGCCTCATTTATGCCCCCAATGTATATTCCATACATGGATGGTCTGACTTATGGATCACCCCGCTATCGCCAACCCATATCGCCAACCCTGGAGGCATTTTATACAACTCCCTTCCTTTACGCGGACCTCCCTGAAATCACTGGACCTCCTTGAAGACTCCTGGCAAGCCCTCTGGTGAGTGGGAACCTTCGAAGATCCATCCCTAAGACCGACACCCAAAGAAGCCTCGGAGCCAACCAAGAAGAACACCACCGACCGCTCGAAAGGAAGAACACCACCGCTTCGCTACTCTGACACACCCCCCGCCCCCCCGTCCGGGCCCAACCCGGAAAGCCCTCACTCCCGGAGAGGGGGGGGACCATCCCCGTGGGGGGACCATCCCCGTGCGACGGCTGACCCGGGAGCCTCCTGGGCAAGACGCCGTCCCTGGGGAGCGGAACGAGTCTATGCCTCGCCGGAAGCGCCGGAAGTGGCTGTGTTGGGAGGTTCGAGAAGGTGTGGGGAAAACTGGGTTGGTTCGGTTGGTCTGCTGTTTGCAGGTTCGATTGGAGGTTTAAGAAATACCCAGGAAGGAATTGGAAGGATTCTGGAAGAGCCTGCATCAGAACTTATGGTTGACCACCCGACAACTTGATGAATTAAAGTCTGCAAGCAAAACCCCTGTAGTAGCCCTATGTATGATTTCATCCGTTCTTCTTTTGCAGCTAATATAGGTGACGGAAAAACGAGCTGTGGGTGATCTTGAAAGGTGATCAAGACCCAGAATCCTCCAAGAACTAGCAACCAGTCGGACCCACAATGTAGTACTCTTGATTCTCTTTCAAGCCCAGTTTCAATAATGCATCAAAAAGGTGGTTCAATCCACGTCTGCGGGCACTTCCATGAAAACCCATCTGCCAATATAACACACCGTACCAAAGTATCGTATCCGAGTGGAACTTTCAAAAGACTGGTAGAGCATGCAGCCGACTCCCCGAGCGGATCGAAACAGGCGCCCGCCTCTTGAGGGGGACTCCCCGGGCGAGGGCACCTGCGAACACGGTGGACAAGGCTTAAAACAGTTCGCAAGAAGACGCACCCACATGTTACATGGTTCAAAAACATCTACAGCTTACCACTAGTAATGATTGAAGTACGAGCCAGTCCTAGTGCATTACAAGGTTTTTGTCACTGATCCAAACCGTTTGCTGTATATCCTACGGCCAATGAGAACACGGGTTCTCTTTTTTTGTCACCCCTTTTCCTTGGAATATCCGAACCCTAGCCCGGGTTGACGCTTGTGTTCAAAATGATTCCTACCCTAAAGGTCCAGTCTGACCTGACCCCAGGTCGTGTTTTTGTATGATCGACTCCACTACCTCAGTTCCTGACACTAAAGGGCTACAGTCCTTCAGCAACAACATGCGAAACACCTGGAGAAGTGCGTCCGGAGTGGTTGATGAATGTTGATTCATGCTTACCCCCGGGGGCCAGAAATGGAGAGACATGGAAGACACGCGCCATGCAGCTTGGCTCTTTCACTTTCATCCGGCGAGGTCGGCCGACAGTCTCCTGGTGCCCGCCTCGCTCTGGACCCACATCTCTAAGGCTCCAAAGGAGCTCATAATGGAGGCCTGGCTGGCGGAAACGAAGGAATTGGAGCATTGAACGCATATGTGTTTTTACTATTCTCAATGGCATATCATGGATTTGGGTGGAATGTTCTTGTCAACTGCTCTTCCCCCGACTTGCTTTTGCGTGTTTAAATCAACGTCCCCCAAGCCGAGCGCTATGCAAGTGAAAGGCCAGCTAAGCGCATCCATGTTTGCATGACATGGATCACCTGGAATTCCCAAACCGTTCGTGTGTGGCTTTGGGGGGCAGGTGCGGCTCGGGGAGTTGACGAGTGACGTTCAGAACCTCAGCAGCGCAGCAATTCGACTGCTTTAGTGAATTCTGCACCCCTACAGGGCCCTGCAGCACCATGGGGCACAGAAATCCATAATAGGTATTGCGAGAAGTGGCAAAGAAGAGGACGTTGAGCCGAGTCAACATAAGTCTGCTTTCCTTTGACCTTCGAAGGCTTCCCAAAAGTGGCATCACTTCGTGTCTCCATAAGGAATCGATGCGAATCCGAATCCCCCGAAACAATGTTGAATCTTAGTCCATCTTCCAGGATCTCTAACCTCGCCCGTCAAGCCGGTCAAGCCGCCGGCGGTCGGCCTCCCTTCCTCCTTCAGGTGGATTCGGTAGGAAGACCAGCACTGGCCTGGCGAGGCCGGTGACGGCTGACTCGACGACTTCGACAGGAAGAATGTGTGGCTTTTTCAGGAAAGCTGCCAGGTGGCGGACCTATCTTGATGAGTTTCAAAGAATTTGCAGGAGTTCACACCGTGAAACTGGACAACCCCGCATCCTCTCGTTCGCATTTCGTTCGCATCCAACAAAAACCGGAACCAAACACCTTGGGGGGCCACCCAGCCACCCGGCCACCCCCCAAAACAAAACAAAAGAAATGCTTGCCAGGCACACCAGGGTCGACGACCCGTAGGCTCCGGGAAGGGCTCCTGCGAGTTGACCAACTGTCGCCCAAGACCTGTGGCTCCCTGCGGTCTACTCGCACAAATCCCAGACACTCCATGTATGCCATATATGCCGCCCCATTGACCCCCAAAACTACCCCAATGTAGGCATATATGGCATACATGGAGTGTCTGGGAATGTCTTACGGAGTCTTCTGAAAGAACAACGCTGGTGTAATATATGGGCAATCGATAGGTTTGATCATCTTCGTGCTTCGTCCTGTGGTGCTTCATCCGGCCACCAGCAGCGGTTCAAAGGAGCACAAACGGCAGCGAAATGCTCCAAGTTCACCTGGACGTTGAAACAAAGAAACGGGTCTGGAGAGGCGGGTGTGACTCTCATGAGCACTGAATCTCGATGTACTTATGGCCATGTGATGCCATGCTCACATTTCATCTTGGCTGACATCTCTGTTATGCAAAGGCGTCCCAATCTGCAGCTCTTGAACAGCATGTGGTTATTTCAAGATCCCCACACATGGCAGGTAAGAATCCATCACCAGGTCGACCGGAACGTTGCACAACGACCTGATGCGACTCACTGGAGGTCCGAATGACTGAGGTTCCCATGCACGTCCATCTCTTCCCATCTCTTTCTTCGAAAAGACATCAACACATAACCCCCCCAACAAAGGTGCCAGGGCGCGCCAGTTCACCCACCAGCACTCCAAGCCACCAGATCTCACCCTTCCCTTCACCCACCAGCACTACCCACCTCACCCCTGCACCCCACCCTTCGTGGCCGCGCCTGCACGGAGTGGCCGGTTTCGCCCTCTCCCGATGCCACGACCTGCGTCGCTGCGCCGCGCTCGGTGTCGGTCGACTGCGTGGCGTGGCGGAGCTCTGGGCGATGCTTGTCCCAATTTCTGACGACGAAGCCTGTGGTGTCATGCAATGAGACCAAGCCAACATCGAAGACAGGAGGATTCAAGGCGAGGTTGCCAATGGTCAACTCGAGAGTATACATGTATCATCCTCTGTATCATCCTCTGCCTGGATTTCGACTCCTTGGTTTCTTAAGCTTCCTGCCAAGGATACTGTAATCTTCTTCTTGGAGAACTTCTCCGTCCGCTTTGGATCATCACGTCCTTCTTGGATGTCACTCCATCACCATGCAAAACATGGTCGGAAAACTTCTCCCCCAAAAATCTGCTGAGCGGCATGGTCGGGCTTCAATGCCTTGTGCAAAGTACATTGACAGGTACATAGACTTGTTTAGTCTCAGAATCGATTTGCTGCCGTCAAACGGAAAAATCCAAGCTCATAGGTACATGGCTGCTGTAGCAACTCAAAAATTCTACCCAAGCGTCACCTTTGCCCAAGTTGTCCTTGTAGATTAGCGCAAAAATTAATAAACATGACATCAATATGTCCAAAACTAGATCATGGCTGGGAAATGCTGGGAAGTTCTCATTCATGAAAAACAAACACAAAAGAAAACGATGTGCCCATGACGCATGGACGGTGCAAAACGTTGGAAAGCTGGGCGATGGGATGTTGTCAGCAAGTAGGCAGCCCAGTTGCCGCATCTTGCCACACTTGCTGGTGTAGCCCCCCCAAAACCAACGGACTGGAGTTGCTTGCCGAGAACGGTGGGGTGCCAAATCGACTTGAGGACTGGAGCCGCGCCATCCATCCCGGGCGGCCGCGCCAGAATCCCCAACTCCCTGGTATCGTCCTGGTGTCGTGGCGAAGCGGGGAATGCATTGGTTTGGGGAAAAAAGACATTGGGGTGCAGCGCAGGTGGGTTCCAGGATGGTTTTTATTGGAGTGTACAAAGCATAGGACAAGAAGAGCAAAGTTGTTTTGACTCGCTCGAGGTCCTCGAGGTATGCTGAGGTGTACTTCTGGGATTGTTTCTTGATTAAGATTGAGGCGATGATAGAAAACCAATGCTTAGGCTTAGCTGCTTCGGACCGGCGTGGGAGTCCACACCCGAACGGAAGGGCAACGATTGGTCGCCGTTCCTCTCGACAAGCCACCTGAGGTGGCTTGTAGAGCTTGTAGATTGGAGGTTGCAAACCCTTTTTAAAGCCCCTACAACAGTTCTCTGCCCAAACCTACCAGGTGTAGAACTGTTTCTACAGATAAAGCCCCTACAACATCGAAAAACCATGGAAAAACACATTAGAAGCACACGACCCATGGGCAGTCCATCCCTCTATCCCCCGAACCCGTGTGGGACTGGCATAGGACTGCCGATCAGGGTCAATGTAGGTGGTTGTTTCGGGGTCCATAGGCATATATTCCATACCTGCACCCTCCAGCAGGTGTTTCCTGGTGACAACAGGTGCCCAGAAACCACCGGTTAGGGTCTCCAAACAGTATGGCCAGGAGGGTCCTGGTACATGGAGTATCTGGGATCTTTGAGACTCAAAGGATCCTGAACGATGCGAAGGATCGCCCCGCGAAGCCTGCGCGCACCGAAGCGTGCGAGATCCCGAAGCGTGCGGACGCTTCCTTCACGCCCCCGAAGTGTGCGGGTCGTCCCCCATTGCCGTGGTGGAAAGGCTTCCTTCGCCACCAAGCGCCGGTGAACCGCATGAACCGTGCATAGAAAAAGGACACCCGGGCGAGCTGCAGCGTCGAAACATGGAAGTTTAGAACCCATGGCCCTCTTCGAATGTGACCTTCCAGATGTCCGGCCTCCAGGATAGCATCTTCTGCAGTGGCAAGGACCTGCATCGACCGCTCTCGAACGAAAGACATCGGACTCCGAGACGGTGCTTTTGCAGGACATCCGGAGCTAATCCAGAAAGCTCGGCAACATCGACGAATCGACGAGTTCCGACCATGGGTTCCTCTAGAAATACATGTCAGAACTTCCAATGACTCATGAACTACTCCACCTGGTAGTCAATCCATCCACCACTACCATTGGGGTAAAATCTGTGACTGGACTCTTAGAGTAATCTGTACCACCTTCAAAGTGACCCCTATCGTATCGCAGTCTCTGTTTGTGACCTCATCCTGTATACAGGGATTTCTCTGTTCAAACCATAGATATCGATTGTATATACTGTGTCTCAGATGAAGTCCTTGACCAAGACGAACGGACTGGGAAACCTTTCACTTCGACTGCTATGACCCAAACACTCCATGTATGGCATGGAATACATGCATGCATTGACCCCCCAAACCACCCCAATGCAGGCAAATATGACATACATGTGGGTGATGGATTTATCGTAAGCTTGACTTCGTTCACCAAAGGCATGGCAGGATCACATGAATCCAGGACAGAATTGGAGGCTCTTTTTCTTTTGCACTGGGACTGGGACAACACATCGGATTTTCAGGTGGGTGCAGGGGCCCATGGCTACCAACTCCTTCGAATTGCTTCAGACACCTATAGCGGATGTTTTGGTTGGTTCACACCCTATGAGTGCGCATTAGTGGATCCATTGGGCACCGAAAGGGCACGTGTGAAATTCAGAAGAATCTCTCACTGTTGGTCCATCCGTGGAAGGCTTTTCGACATGAGCCTGAAGGTTTCTTCTGGCCAGGCGGCCTGCCTCACTTCGGACTCCAGCATGGCTCGCTGAAGATGGGGTCTATCGCCCAAAACCAGTGGGTGACTTCGGCGAAACCGACCGAAAACCCACGGAGCCGTTCGAATTCGATCACTGAAAACCAGAGAGACACAGAGACACAAAGAGCTCAAGACCTCCGACAAGTGGCGCGCAAGCTCAAGACCTCCAGAGCTTGTATACCTCGAAAAAGAGAGATGTAGACGGAGATATCTATACCAGGACCTTCAAAGTTTGAGATCCCAGCATAAGATCACGAAACGACCTGCCCAAGGCCACTTAGATCCACTTAGAGTCCTCAAAAAGGTCACGAACTGAAGGTCCTGGTACCTCTTTGGTCCACTGATCTCCTTCCTCCTTTCTGCGGTCTCGGAGATCTCCTCCACCAACCCGCTGCGCCCGCTGCACTGCGCGCCGTCCAAAACCAACCAACACCATGTGGCTCCGTGTGTTTACGCTCCGTGTGTTCACAGCCTCCACCTCCGAAGGGAGCCAGAACCTGGTGGAAGCGGTTGGGCCCGGGCTCCCCGAAGCGGCGGGCGACGCTCAGACGGGCTCGGACGTATCGGGTGAAACCCCCGGGGGACCCAGGGAGCGCGTGGAAGCCGCGCAGCAGAGTCTGAAGTGAGCAGGGGCAGTGAGAAATCGGCAACGGAGTGGGGAGGGGGGGTGCGAAGTTTTTTCTTTAAAGATTGTTCAATTTTAGTTCATATCCACTGGATGGGACGAAAATTGTATTCCAAAATTACCCAACTCCTAATAGTCATATAGTCTGTCAGAGATGGTGAACTTGAAGAGGCTTTGGCAGGTTCAGGTATTGACACAGCCATCAGTGTGGAGGCCTCAGTTCAGGCAAAATGTCCCTCAGTTCAGGCAGGACGAGAAGTTCTCATCAGCATGGTCCCTCTTCCCGGAGGTTTCAACCGGACCAGTGAAAGTTTCGACCAGCAACACAAGGTCAGCATGTTTGTGGATTAAACAACGAATGGTTCTTCCTTTATAGAATCCATGCTGTTGATGATACTTGGAACCCCAAATCGCCTTTCTTCGTCTATGAGTGCAATTGGTTCATCAGGTGCGAACTTCGATCTCTGCACATTGTCACGCTGTCCTTCTCTCATCGCAACTGAACTACATCGCAACTACGGTGATAGTAAACATCAACTATCTCTGACATGGGAGTCTAAGAGTCTGTGTGACTCTAGACTCCATGTCCAAGCAAGTAACCCCAAGTAATCCAATACATCCCTATATTAAATAACGTCCACATAAATCCATCACTCTGGACATCACAAAACACCAGGACATGAGATGAACAATTGATCACCCATCCCTTAAGGGGGGAGGTGGGGGGACCTTCCACGTCTTTTCCGAATGACACAGCAGTGACCCACCTGGTCAGCAACTCTTCGGACCGACTCGGCCGTCGCGTGGCGGGGCTGGCGCTTTTTCTCTTCGCCTTTTCGGACGGTTCGTTCAGGGGATGCCTGGCAGGATGCTGTCAGGTTCAGGCGCTTGGGGCTTCCAGCTCTGAAGAGGTGTGTGGGCCTTGTGGTTTCGGTTGCCAGGACCTTCCCAGACCCAAACTTCAGTGTTGGCACAATGCGATGTTGTGCCGAGTTGTGTTCATGATTCTTTTTTTGAACGACTCATCATGTGTTGCGGAGAGTGGGAAGCCTGGGAAGATGGGATGAGCACATCATCCTGCGATCATCTGGCAATTCTATAGTGGAACGCCCTCAGACTCAGATGCCAAATGATGTACGGACTCTTGTGGAGCACTTCCCATGTTCCACACCGTGCTATCATCCGTAGAACACCCAAGACATCGGTGAACCAAACCAGGCAGTTTCTGGAGCCTGTTTGCTGATTTATCCATTTCATGGCCCAAGCACTCCATGGGATTGACATATTTCCCTACATTGGGGTGGTTTCAGGGATCAATGGGCATATATATATATATATATTCCACAATATTCCATACATGGAATGTGTGTGGTTTTTGCGGCGTTGCCTTCCACCAACAATGATGACATCCCACTATTCTGCGCAAAGTCAGCGGCCACCTAATGGTGGTTCGTGTACAACACACCCATCTTCTGCATGTGCTTTGGACCGGATGGTCCTTCCATGTCCTTCCCTCCTTCCCGGCCAAAGCGGTGCGCTTTGACCGACCCTCCGCGCCGTCGCAGCCGGTTTCGCCGCTGACCACTCGCAGCTGCCGCGGACCGACGGCTACTCCTCGAGGCTCGGCGCAAAGGCGCTGCCGTCGGGGAAAATCACCTGGTGAGGCGCCGAGGGCGAGAAGGACCAGGCATGCATGTGGAAAAGCGTTTTGAAATGGTCCGGCATAGTGGGGAGTGCGTGGTCAACACCGCATTATTGTTGGATTTTCCAAAGATGATCGCACTTGAATTGGAAGTCTACTTGGAAACACCGTGTGCAAACCATGACTTTAGCACTCAATCAAGCTTGCTTAACCCTGGTCTGTACGGATATTGCACCGAACACCCTGCAGGTCTGTGTGTGGAAACGTTGAACGCAATGGATATAGTTGTTCATGCACGCAACACACAAAAACCACACACCTGCAACAAAGCAAAACACATGAGCTAGGGACCCTCAATGGAGTGCTAGCAGCTAGCAGGTGTTTTGCCACCATTTCGTGGACGAAAACACGAGAAAACACGAGATAACGGTCATCGACCGACCCAGTCGTCGTCTCCCCAGTCGTCCTCACACACACCCAGTCGTCCTCCCAACCCCAGCGCACTCCATGGGGGACGACGGGAATCGTGGTCACACCTCTGCCAATGAATATCGAGAGTTGCATATGCCGTCACAGAGCTTGGGCTGCCGAAGCAATGGAGGAAGTGGGCACCTGCCCGTGTCACAAGCTCTTGAGGTCGAGCCGCGCCATCAAGCAGTTCATCGTGTTCCTCACAGGGCACTTCCTCCTGTCGTTGCTCCAATAAGCCAATGCCGATCCTCAGTGACACCGTCGGAGCTGAAGCTGGTTCCCTGAATAAAAAACCGTCATTCAACCAAACACACACACATCGCATATTCTGTTGTCCGGACCTGGGGCTTCAAACAATCACAAAGTTCAAAATTGAAAGTTTCACGAAATGACACAACCAATGAACTGTATCATAAGGCATGATGTTTCATACTACTCCTAATCTCTATAAATCTCAACATATAGTTGAACAGCACCATCATGAATCAACGACGATGTCGCTACGCCTCATGACCCCATTCCCAGCATCTTCCAAGCAAAAACACCCAAAGTCGCACCGGTCCCAAACAAGAGATATTCAATCCCATGGATGGCCGATGATGGCCGTGCAAGGGTGCATGTCAAAGCATGTCTTGAACACCTCCAAAACGCATTTTTGTTTCGCATGTCGGCGCTGTAGAACCAACATCTTTTGATGTACCCAAACGCTCCTGGACCCTCATATGCAGGGGTCGGACCCTCATATTGAAGGGTCCGGACCCTCAAATTCCTATGGTTTTGAAGGCCCAAGGGCTGTTTGGAGCATCTGGGTGGGTGTCCAAAAACCACACAGATCGATGTGCGTCCTCAGCCGTGGCCCGAACATGCGGCCCGAACTCTTCCGTCCCAGTCCGTCCCCCACCCGTCTCCGCGGCACGTCCGCAGCGGGAGCCTCTCGGGCGGCCGGTCTCGACGAGCTCGCTGGATGTAACCTGCGAAGCGCGGAGACGGCGGAGAGCAGAGACATGATGAGATGGCAATTTGATAAATACATACTCCTAATATCTCCTAATATTGAAACAGCAACATGACTAACACTGTAAAGTTTGTATCAGCAAATCTTTATCTTCATCAGTTTTTCTTTAAATGAAATTCGGAGCTGCTACATTGATTGAACAACTAGCTCAATAGTCCACACATGGAGTGTTTGCACTTCAGAATCTGGAGTGGTGAGGGAGAACGAAAATGAACAAGTCTTCTGCACAAATATTTTGGTGAACTCAAATAACGTGGGTGACAAATGGGTAAAAAGGATATGACAGCAGCTGGACATGTGAGGTGATCACAAGCACCAAAGTATCTCATTTTCTCAGGAGGGATCCAAAGGTCCTAAATGACTTGATCACCTTCGATCGACATCCAGATCTGCACCCTAAAATTCACCTCTTCTTCGAAAACACCGTTCGCCTGAGACAATCACTCGTCCAAATAGTACTAACATTATATGAACTGGGCACCTCCCCAGTTCGAGGATGTCTGTCTCCATAACACTGACCTTCGGTGTTTTCCGATGTCATGGTGCCCGAAAGACCCATCGACCATCAGGGTCCATCCACGACCCAGAAGGTCTACTCCGCGTGGAAGTGAAGTGAAAGAGACCACACCCGGGTGGTCGAACCCCCCTGGTCGAAGCATACTTGGTCGTGTTACTTGGGGGCCATAGCTGTAGGTCGAGTCAAAGACCTTTCCATACATGGAGTGTCTGGGGTTTTTCGCTGGAGGTCCAGGTTGCGATCTCCAGATAACACGCAACGACCACCACGCCACGCCACTGGAAATGGGGTACGTGTTCATGTGGAGGACCCCCCTCCAACCCAAGTGGAACAGTGATGAGCATATTATGGGATTGTCATGTCTTCTCATAACCCAAATTCTATTGATGTGACCGGCCAATTGATCAACACTTGAGAGAGGAGGGGGTGAACGAAAGGTAGCAGGCAATCACAAGCAACCCTGGTAAAAGTCCATGACGGCGTGAACCGGCGAAGGGTGGATTTGATCCAGGGGGCCCCCCCCCCACGAACAGAATCAACTCTTACAGGACCAAACTCAATGCACAATCCCAACTCCTGATTGTAATACATTTTTGCTAAAGCAAGGAGAACTCAGGTAGCTCAAGCTACCTTTCGTGAATTGGGATGGTTTCAGACGGTTTCAGGGGTCAATGTACATCAATGTACCCTCCCTGCAACAACCCTAAAAAGGGATGTTCACCCCCCTCTTGGTAGAGGAAAATCGTCCTTCCAAGGGGTCATTGTCACTGAACCGTGATTTTTAGGAGGACGAGTGTGTGGAACTGCGTGTTGCACCATCTGAAATGCACCGAATTCAAGGCTGGTGGAGCCCTGCAGATCAGATCCATCCCTCTTGAGGTGAGCGTTCGTGTTGTTTCTTTGGTGGATCCGCAACCATGGGACATCGTGGGATCCCGTGGGGGGACCCCATGGGATCCGCACACACACACCCAAAAACCCCCTCCGTCCCGGTCGTTCCGGTCGTGGAGCGATCGTAGAAACCCATGCCCTGACCGCAGCGCCGCCTCGTCAAGGTGTCGAGATGTCGACGTGCGCGGCTGGCACCCACCCCAAGTCCCACCTTCGAAACGGAGGTAGGCCAGGAGCCCTATAGGGATATTTTCCACTTCATGTCGGGGTACCTTGAGGTCTATGCCTGGCTTAGCCCCTTGTGATTTGAACCGAAGTGAACCGAACGGCAACAAA